CTTAATGAGCGTGGTATTAGAGTCGGGTGCTGGAAGGACTCAATCCATCGTGAACTGAAGTTGCGGTTGCCAAATGGCAGGTGCTTTTAAACCCTCTCTATAGAGGTTGATTAATTTTCTGATTTCCCCACCGACTCCACGTAGGTATCCAGGAAGTGGATGCGCTTCCAAATCCCTTTGCCTCCAATCGCTTTCGAAACTCCTTGTAAGCAGGAGAGGAGCGCCAACTCGCCCGCACGCATCTCCGCGAAGTAAAAGCATTTGCTCGCTGGACATTCAACATCTCCTTCAACTCAGGCGCTGGATGCGTGGCTATAACTGACGATCATTTAGCCTCTAGCTAATTAACATGTCTTTATATCGAATGTCTACAATTGCCAATGCAAGGAGCTGACTGTTTGCAAGATCAACATTCCATCCCGGACAAGGTTGGACTCTCTCGAATCACAAGTCTTGCCTTTGGTTTTCTTCCCGAAGGAGATGATGTGTGGTCTTCCTTCCAAGTCAAAGCCCATTTCGATGACGTAATTTGGCGGATGAAGTTTGTTTCAAAAATGAGGCTCGCCGGCTCAGTTGTTTTTGTCCCGATCCAGCACTTCATTTCCCGTTTCTTTGCCTGATCGAACAGTTGCTTTCCTCCACCGCAAGATTCTTTCTGTACAGCAGCTCTGTGTCAGTTTGCTGCTCTAATTAAAGCTTGCGCATGGAAACGCGGATCCTAGCAAAATTTCTCCAATGTTTTCATTGGGAAGAATTCACAAGGACAGACTTCTGCCGTTGCTACATGTGATTGCTCTTCACTCCTGGACATCCCTTGTCTATAGTTACAGTTTTTCTGTCTACCCCTTCTATTAAATATGCATTGCCGGAATTAGGCTTCCGTCTAAACCTTGAGGGTGGCTGATATTCGACCCCGCAATCGAAATTCGTCTGACAGGTTCTTCCTCTGGTTGGGCTGACCTTGCAGGTGATGGGATTCTGCGTCGGATGGCGCAAGATCAATTTCTTCAACGTGATCTGAGGATTGGAACATTCCGCTCTTTTCTTTCAGTGATGTCTCCTCAATCTCTTCTCTTCTCTTCTCTAATCTGCTGAAAGCCATGGTGGCTTTGAAGCTCTCAGCGACGCAGGCCTCATATTGTCTCTGGCTACCTGACGGAGTGTTTTGAAATCGGTCATCCAAATAATGGTTCTTGTTTCGCGCATTACTACCTGACCGACCTATCTTTCTCAAGACGCTTCGGTGCTTTCCATTTGCACCATATCATGAACTCACCGCGGTTCCAATCTTGTTCTCCGCCCCTTGATTGCCTCAAAATTGCCCTTGTAATGGCTTGGATATTGTCTGCGCCTAGCAAGGCCTTTCGAGCTTTGATATGTGTCCCTGGAAAGCATCAGATTGTATGTCTTCGCTGTCGCCCAGACAATAAAGAGTTGTGACTTCAGATTGTATGTCTTCGCTGTCGCCCAGAGAATTGTGACTTGTCTGACCACATGACCACACGAACCCGGGAAATTTACGTTCTTGCCCTGCCTAAGACTGCTCGCTCTGTGCTATATGCATTGGCGACACTCATGTCATGGTGTTCTTTGCTTGGAAAGCACTGGGCCAAAGCGACCTCAAAGTCTTTGTCGCTTACCATGGGCTGACGATGATGACGATGATGATGAAGAAGACGACGATGATCAATCCACGCCACCGTGTCTTCCTATTCTACCCCTCTGGCAAGGCGCTGCTGTTATTGGTTGGATGCCGTTTTGTTGCGTGGTATCCTTCCAGAGTTGGCTTACGAGCTCTCCAGCCAAATCACGCGCAATTGCTTGAGTGGGCCAGCGCAGTGAACTTTTTGATTGGTCGCCCTGACAGCACTTTTGACATCCTTCGGTTGCGCGCTTCATCAACCAGCTGCGCCGACGCTCATGTGCTAGTGTCGGCGCTTGGGATCAAGGCCGTTGTGGGCGGGACTACCCCCGCCTCTATGACCCCAAGATGTACGACGACGATGAAGAGACCAAGTTCGACCGGCCAAGGTGACGCCTTGGGCGAATGGTGGCGCGAGCCAGAGCCCAATGGACCTCCGAGGACTGACTGCTCCACATGGACATGCTGATGTGTGGTAGAAGGAAGAGACTACACCAGGTGGCGCGTGGGTCTACGCGCCCAATGGTCCTCCCAGTGGATATGGTGAAGGATCAACGGCTTCGAGACCGCATCACCGACAAGTTCGGTTCACGTAATAAGCGTAGACATGCTCATGCTCCTCCTATAGTGATGACCCGCGCGACGATTGCTCCGAAGAAGAACGAGCTGAGTCGGAACGGCTGAGATCCTCAAGCTGGAGGACAGGGCCCGCGCCTGACAGGCTCGCAAACGCCGACGTGGCCAGGTAGCGCCTCCATGGAGTGCGCCCCTGCTGGTGGTGCTGCCGATCGCGGCTTTGGAAAAGGTGCCGCTGGGCGCAGTGCTTGATTGCGCACCTGGCCCCACACGTCGCCTATATTTCGCATATACGGCGGCGGTGGCGGAAGGGGACATGGGACAGGAGTTCATGAATCATGGATCTTTTGGGGGACGCCCGCTTTCGGCCGGACCTGTGCTACGAGCAACTTCAGCGGCAAGGGTTCACCAAGTTCTCGTGAACCAAGCCGCTGAAGGGCCCTCCAGGACAGTTCGGCCCTATGGGAAATACCAACCTGAGTTGGCCCCCTACTGTGGCCAGTCATCTGGTGTGTGAGAGCCTCGTGTCCAGTCAAGACCCAGGCAAGAAACCAATCCAATAAGCAAGCGTGCGTTTGTTTTTTGGACTCAATGCTTAAAGAAATTCAGTTTATTTAGTTGGCGCAATTCACTTTGGATACATTGGAGACAACTGCAATGAAAGACGTTTTATAGAGCTTTGCATGATAGATCAACCCCGTTGAATCATGGAATGTTTGGTGACTTCGTGTGCTGGTGGCTTGGCCAGGAGATACGGAGGCTATACGCACGGTCATTGTTGCGTGCTTCGGGTGTGCCCTTTGTGCAGCTTGGACAATGGCAAATTTTTTCCACGGAACGGGGAACATCAAAAATTGTGAGTCTTGTGCTTTGCAGTTCAACAAAGAGATCACTCGAACTTGTGGAGTCAATGGCACTTAACCCTTTTGGCTCTGTTGGGTGTTTAAATATGTTTAATTGTTTGATTTGCTTCTCCACGAGCCTGGCTTGGTTTACCAACGAATTCAAACCCGGTGTGTCTGACGAAGTTTTCCAAAGGCAAAGCGCTCTTTACATACGGGCTGCCGCGCTGGAGTTGGCGTCCGAACCAGCGCTGTGGCCCAGTAACCTTGCTGACACCTTCATGAGCGCCCCCACATCCAAAACTCATCTAGAATCGCCCACGTCAAATGTAATGAACAAGTTCTGGTTGTCCCTGGCAGCATTGATTGCGCATGGGCAATGTGCAAGTCATAGCCCGCGCATTCCTCTCAAAGGAAAGACCCCTTAGAGCCCGCAGCGTACCTGAATGAAACTGTTAACCATGTCAAAAACCATCCAGGCACCGTTTGCAGTCCAACCCAACAAATCAGCAACCCACAGAATCAGGTTGCAACCACCGGCGAGTACGGTTGCGCAGACGCTGCAAATCAAAACATTGAGAGGGAAAGCAAACCCTATGCGCAACAAATATTGCGCCGCGCCTCGCGAGAGAGTCATCCAGGAGCCACGAGGTTAAAACTAGAGGTTCGTTGTTGAAGCAGGTCAACTTATGATGCCGCTCCACGCAGTGGAATCCTTGGACAATTGGCAATTGTGTGCAGGCGGGTCAAAGGCAACTCAATCATAGAATGGAAGCTGGCAGGGCAAGGAACCCAACCAAGGTTGTTAGCCTCCTCAAAGATCTTGCGGTCGCCGTGGACAAACTGCCAGGTGTGCACGCTGCAAGCATCGCTGCCTGAAACCTCCATGGCATGTGACTCGAGCCGACCCCTATTAAGACTGACGTTGTGAAGTCAGACTGAGGCCAAGGCGTTCAACAAAAAGAAATCGCTTTACGCAGGAACAGTTGGCTGCGACGATGCGCCTGTTGCCCGATGGGATGTGAATGTGAATGTTCAATGTTCCTCAACGCTAGTTGAGCCCCACGAGTGACACTGACCATTTGGGTGGAAAGCAGGCGCAGATAGGCGCAGTATACTTGCATGGTTGCTGCTGCTGGACGCTCTTGGCTGCTTGCTGGTTGCTGCTGCCTGCTGCTTGCATGCTTGCTGCTGCTGGATGCTGGCTGCCTGCTGCTTGCTGTCTGCTCCGTTTTGCTGCTGTTGCTGTTTGGGGTTGTTGGCTGCTGTTGGTGCTGAAGAAGGCCTATTCGTTTCAATTGAGTAGTTGCATTCCCTCTGAGTCGCGAAACGCGGTAGTGGTAGAATCTAGCACAAAGACCAAGTTGGTTTCATTGCATTCGAGGATAATTTCATTATATTCGAGGGAATTGGTTGTGACTTGAAGAAGCTTTTACAGGCATGTGCCCGCCCCACAACCCCCAAGCGGGCCATGACAGATCCTTCCCATGCCTCTGGTAGCTGCTGCTTGCTGCTGCTGCTGCTGCTGCTGCGGCTGCTGGCTGCTGGCTAATGGCTGCTTGCTGGCTGCTTGCTGCTGCTTGCTGCTGGCTGCCTGCTGCTGCTTGGTAGCTGCTGCTGCTTGATGGCAGCCGCTGCCTGGTAGCTGCTGCTGCTGCTGCTTGGTAGCTGCTGCTGCTGCTGCTGCTGCTGCTTGGTAGCTGCTGCTGCTGCTGCTGCTTGGTCGCTGCTGCTGCTGCAGCGCTGTTTCTTTGCCTAGCTTTTGCCACCCCCCTCTGGGTGACAAGTTGAGCCCCACGAGTGACACTGACCATTTGGGTGGAAAGCAGGCGCAGATCGGCGCAGTATATTTATTTGAAGTTTGTCCATCTCAAGTCCAAACACGTTGCTTCACCCCTGCGCAGAAGTGAATCAACCACTCAAACTGTTTGGCCAAGGCGATGATTGCCATTTATTTTTTGGGAGGTGAGAACCCCCCTTTGACACGGGCAGCGGCTGCAAGCGCTTCTTTACTTTGGATGCGGTCCACTCGTAGCTTGTTTGCGCCAGCAGGAGCGTTCGCCACACTGGCCGTTGACGAATCCTTGCCACGGCTGCCGGCAGTACGGGATTGGCAATGGGTTGCAGAAGGGGTGCAGCTGATTTTAATTCCAGCAATTTGTGGGTCCCTTTTCCTTTTTGCTTCTCAATCTGCTGCTGTGTGGTTGCGGACAACATTTGCTTGGCAAGAGCCGCTCTCTTTACAAGATACATGGCTAGTTGGAGAACTTCGCAACGCCTTTCCATCGCTGCCCAAACGCGAATTGTCCAAGCTGCTAAAGCAGGCTGATGAAGTTTTTTACGAGCCAAGATCGATTCTGACTGAGCAGGGATCCTCGAACAAGTATTTGTGGTTGGTGATTTCAGGAAAGCTTCTCGTGGAGGTGAGTGGACAAGTTGCTTCAACACTGGAGCGAAAGGCCATTGTGGGCGAAGTGACATTCTTGGATCCTCGAGACAAGCTTGCCACAGCTACAGTTTATGCCGCAGCGCCCAACGGAGCCAGGACCCTTGCCGGCTTGGTGACAGTTCTGTCAATCCTTTCGTGCCAACTCTCCATTGGTGGCAATGAGGCAGCTTTTGAACCTAGGGTGATCACTATATGTACATACATATATATACACAGCCCCACACACATACATACATACCTACCTACCTACCTACCTACCTACGTACGTACGTACGTACGTACGTATGTACGTACATACATACATACATACATACATACATTTTTTCTACGCTCCTTTTCTGTGCCAATCTCAGACCGCCTTGGGTCGAAAACAGCTTGGTAGCTGTTGCTGGGACTTGTCTTGGTCGCAGGAGGCTTTCAAAGCCTTGCTTGCCTCATAGCCCTCCTTGCCCATCATGGCATGTGAGTGGCATTCGAGGCAGTATAGTTTCCTGCCCTTGCGCCACATTCGATGTGACTTGTGCCCTTTCCATCCTTCATCTGGCTGCAAACTTTCATTCCAGCATTTGGTGCTGGCCAAAGCCATCAGCTTCTCCCTTGAGGAGTTTTTGAGCTGTCGGCCACTGCGCTGCACACAGACCACGTAGTTGGTCTGGATCTGAAAGTCATGAGCTCCCATGTTGTCCAGAGTTCCATCAACCATGCTGCTAAGGAAAGCAGCCTTGCTGACTCGTTCATCTGGAGCTGGTCCGCTTCCTCCAATCAAGGAAACACCTGTTTGGAGAGGGCATTCTTCCGTGCTTCCTGCTGCAAGTTCAGCCATCTTGTTGTGCATGGTGAGTTTCTTCTTGCAGTGTTTGCATTGTGCGCTTCGTCCTTTGTGTTCCCACTGGTGTCCTGCCTGAGTCGAAGAGATCATCAGATCATGGAAGAGTTTCTGCTTCTGGTCTCTTGTCTGCTGCCGGAGGACTTTTCCACTTTCTCTGGCTTGGTTGAGGAAGTGGGACTTGTCTTCTAGCAAGTACTGAATGCGCTGGATGGCTTGAGGTGCCACTCTCTTGTATTTGCTGTCTTGTGGATAGAGCCACTTCAACAGCTACCTTTTTGGCATCTGCCATGTGATGTCTCAGCGACCATTCAGTCTTTGGCATTTCCTTCAACTGGGCCGGTGTGATGGTGAGGGCTTTGATGCGGCGTCTCTGGCCCAGAGTGATCAGTCCAGTCATATCGTAGAAGACCTCTCTGTGTTTGCTGAGCGTCCAAGCTTCCCAAGCCCTGGTGGAGGTGACATGAATGACAACCGGAGTTTGAAGGTTGACATAATGCGCCACCATCCGTAGCCCGTAAAACCATGCTCTCTCCCATGTTTGTTTGCCTGGTAGCACTGTGACAACCGGTTTGCGCCGGTAGAGCTGTCCTCCAAGCTGAACATGATGCACTATGGCCACCACAAAATGCCTCACACAGACATCTTTTGAAGACGTTGAGATGCCAACGGTGACAACTTCTTGTCTCTGGCAACTGTAGCTCATCATGCGTAGTCCATGAGCCCCATGCCTGAACTGCTGCGCCTCCTGTAGAGACTTCCAACCGAGGTAGTTGAAGAAGTCCTTGGGCCCAGAACTCTAAGTTCAGTCCACGCTCCAGCTCAAAAACATCTTCTGCCTTCAGCTCCGGGAAATGCTTTCGCGTCTCCTTGCAAAGCCAAAGAACGTGAACCGGTGTGGCCGGTTGGCCACAGTGAGGGCAGGTCAAGTGCTTGTGCTGGTCTCCATCAGCAACTTTGGTGAAGCTGGCGCCTTGATGCCATGTCATCAGCGCAGTGGCAGTGCGACTGTTGAGCTGCTTTGTCTGTCTCTGCCATGGGGGCCAGTCCAAAGGCTGTTGAACTTCCTGAAGCAAAGTTCTCTGTCGAATTTGAGCCAGACGATCCCAGGCTTCTGCACGCTTGAGCTCTTGCTTGAGTTCCAGCCATGACGAAAGCAGGTCAATCTGAAAATTGTCCTGCCCATTGTAGCCCGGCTTCTCCCACTTGTAGCGCGTGTCTGTGCTCCATCCGGCTCCATCAAATAGCACTGCAGAGCTGAGACGGGCCCTTTAGCCACTTGCCAGAGATGCTTGGCTTGCTGTAGTTTGGCTGACTGCACATGCCACGCCTTCTCTAAGTCCTTGGCAAGTTGGTCAGGCCAAGCTCCATAGGACCGATGGTAGGCTTTAACCTCGTCCATGAAGGCTCCATAGTCTGGATCTTGGTGACGTGGGAACATGTCGAAGAGAATCTCAATGTTGCCAGTTCTTTGCAATCCCATTTGTCTGCCCATGGTCGTGTTCTGTCATGAAGGACCGTTCAAGGCTACCTGCAAACATTCCATTCCTGGCATAGCTCTCTCCCAGAAATATTCTTGTTGAATGTCCAACTGCCATTGTCTGGTGTATGGTGCACGGAGCCGACACCACAACCTGTACATGGTTGCAACCAGTGCAATTGGTCTCTCAATTTCTGCATTCTTCGGTACGAGAGCAATGAGCGAAACAGCCCACTGATTGGGAATGCTGGCTTGAGCTTCAACTTCATGAAAAAGGTGAATGAGATTCCTCATGGCTTGGAAAGGGAGAGCTCTGAAGAAGTCAAAGCCAACTCCATGCATGCCCGGTGCCTTCTGTGCTAGCTGCTTGATAGTTTTCCAAAAATGAATGTCCGTCAAAGGTCGAAGTTCTTGTGCATGTTCACGTGCTTTGTCTTGGAGAGCCGGAAAGGCCTCAGGGACCAAGGGCTCATCCTGAAGCTTCCATATTGTGCCCCATTGCTGCAGTCTCATGTCCACCCGTTCTGTTCGTGGGAGGTTTTGAAAGGGCCTCAAATAAGGCGTCTCATCACGCTTGAGGGTTCTGTAGAGGCCTCTGCAACCCTTCTCCGTGGCCTTGTTCACCCAAAGTCTGTATTGTTCTGTTTCAACTGCAAAGGACTCTTCCGTGCGCAGTGTTCGTTGTTCTTTGGCAAATTTCAACAAAACTTGGATGTGTTCAGCATCATGATTGGTCCAAAGCATGTCAAACAGCATTCTGAAACCATCCATGGTGACTTTGGCGTCATGGTGCCAGTTGTCTGACTGATGCCATCCCAGCTTCTGCAAACGATGGAGTTTGCTTTGATCCCAGTCTGAACGATGAAGATGTTGTTGAAGCCGTACTTCTATCTGGGCCCAAAATGCTTGTGCTCCTTCCCCCAGATCCATGGCTTGCTCAGATCCATCAGGGGCCTGTGGACGTAGTCCAAATGTGAGCCACGTCCAAGCTTTGGGCTGTCAATGTTCTGAAGGACGTAGCGCTCAATTTTGCTGTAGAGGGCTCCCGCCTTGCTCGAAAGAGGTGTAGGATCCATGATCAACCATTTGACCTGCGGCGCACTGTCAGAGACTTGCGTCCATTCAGCTGAGATTTTTTCTAGCCTCGGTGCTGGATTGTTCCCGAAAGCACCTGCGAAGGGTTTTTCCTTAAGCACTGCTGCCTATTTCATCTTCCTTAATCTCTTTCTCTTACTTGATCTTCCCCACTCTCTCTTCCTTACTCTCTTTCTCTTACTTCATCTTCCCCACTCTCTCTTCCTGACTCTCTTTATCCTACTTCACCTTCCTTACTTCATATTCTTTACTAACTTTCTCCTACTTCACCCTCACAACATCATCATCTAATCATCACCTCATAGGTTATCATATCATATCAGGTTATAATATCATATCACATCACATCAATGTCATAACATATCATATCATATCATGTTTTAATATCATATCACATCACATCAATGTCAGATCATATCATCTCATATCATGTGATAAAATAATATCACATCACAACATAACATATGAAGTAGAAGTATCAGATCAACAATATCAAAGTACATCAGAAGTAGATATTGATAGGTAGGTATTGATAAGTGGGTATAGACAGGTAGGTGTAGGTAGGTAGGTGTAGATAGGTAGGTGAAGATAGGTAGGTGAAGATAGGTAGGTGTAGACATCTTCCTTAAGACACCTACCCAACTTCACCTACCCAACTTCTTCTTTATTCTTCTCTTTAGGCGGCGGGGCGGTGCGAGCAGGTCTTACGAAACGCAACCCTCTCGTGGAATCGTGGCCATCGATCGCGCGCGCGTGTGGTGAGACGCGAATCGCGTTTGTCCGTGAGCAACCCTCTGCGGAGATCGTGCGTGTCGATCGCGCGAACGTGTGGTGAAACGTACATTTTGTCTGTGCCCGGATCGTTCCCCCATTGTAATTCTGGTCGCAAGGATGTCGCGAATGTGCGCTGCGGACTTCATACTCATTGGGAAATGCGATTCCATGGTCTGTGCCCGGAGCGTTCCCCCATTGTAATTCTGGCTCGAAGGTGTTCCTGTGTCATCGCTCGGAGCGTAGTTACATTGTGTTTTGCAAGCTTTGGTTGCTAATCGCCTTATAGTTCTGGCTCGAAGGTGTTCCTGT